CAAGTGCCAAATCCGTCTCTGCCACCACAACGTCCAGTTCTGCAACAACTCCCACCACCTTAACTTCCACCGCCACCCTTACCCCTGTTGTGGTGGCCACGGGCACTGCCACCAGCAGGACTACGCTCAGCACCACTTCCACCGCTACTGCTTCTGCCACGAGCACTGCCACAGCAACGCCCACTGCAACACGTTCGTCGGTTTCATCGACCACAAGCAGCACGGGGACCACATGGACTGTGAGCGGAACTTTCACTGCAGCTGTTGCAGCGGAAGATTCAAGAAGCCCCGACCACCACACAAGCATAACTAGCTCGACCCAAGCCACCACAACTCAGAGCTCAACCCGAACCCAAACCAGCACCTCCTTGGCACCGCACGTCATCTTGGGTGACAACACGGCCAAAGCGCCCTTGGAGCAAGGCACGGCAAGCTTGATCGCCTCGCTGTCCTGTGCCGCTGCCCTTGCGATCATGGTCTTGGCTTGGAAGGCACGGAAGATTCGGAGGATCAACCGGAAGGTTACCCCGGAAGCTCTTGGGCAGTATAGTCTGACGGATCCGATGGATTTCATTCGGTACCTCAGGGAAGCAGACGTGCGGCTCGTTCGGTTGTCCTACTTACTGGAGCTGCAGCAGAAGAGGCGTCCCTGGCCGCGAAGGCAGGAGGCCGAAGGCGTGGTTCTGGACTCCGGGGAGACGGCTCTTGTGGCGGCTTCGGAGCTACGTCAGCTTTCCCATCCCGACAAGGGCCGCCGCTTCTTCACCGCGGCTGGGAAGCTGATCCATTTCGGCTCTGTCTCGCATTGCTGGGAGAGCATGGAGCACCCGGACCCATGGAAGTTTCAGCTAGATGAGACAATCAGCCGCTTCCGTCACATGGAGGGTGATCGGGCGCAAGTATGGCTCTTCATCGACTTCATGTCGCTCTTCCAGTATCCCCGCAGCGAGGCCCAAAACCAAAGCTTCCTGAAAGCTCTTCAAGGAATGCATGTCTTGTACGCTCACGAGCTGGTGAAGGCAGGCAGTCTTCGTGGGGTGCTATATACAAAACTGACGGTCAGACGGTCGAGGGTTCTAGCCTAAAGCCAACTCAAAGACTTAACTGTTCTGTTCAGAGTTTGCGATCAGAAGAGCTGCTACCTTTGCAGGTGGAAGTTCTGGAAGAGCTGACCCCGATGGACGTGCAGTCTGCCCAAAAAGATTGCCTAGTTGCCGTGTACAGTGATGCCAAGCTGCGCGTGGAAGAGGTTCCCGCTGCAGCCCTCAAGTTGAACCACGTGCCGTATGACCAGCGTGGCTGGTGCCAGGCAGCGGAATTATTACCTTTGGTTAGTAGGGAATGGAAGCATGGTAGTGACAGTAGATATTAATTGTACCCCATTCATTTATTTTGTGCTAACCAAAGGTGAGAGTTTTTACCCACAGTATGTTGGGGGATCCTTCTTATAGTTCTAGTATAGAGTGTACTATAGCCCCAAACCCTATTCTAATTAGTATTAAGGCCTCTATATCATAGAACCTTTTTGTAGATCCCTTATAGACCCCTTAAAAGAACCCTAGACTACTTAAGGCCCCTGCCAGTTAGAGTCTACAGTATACTACACCCCCAAACCCTATTCTAAACATAGTACATAGTTTAGTAGCTATAGTACCAAACCTAATACCAAACCCTATTCTGATTTATTTAGGCCCCTGCCAGGCAGAGCAGGAGTGGGCCAGCCTCCGGGAAACCTTCGCAAGGCGCGTGCCGATGCCTCCGAAGCTCAGTCAGCCAATGGGAAGACTTTAAACTTCTTGGGCCTTGTATGGGGTTTAGGGTTTAGGTGCCTTATAAACCCTAAACCCTAATAATTAGGGTTTTGGGTGCCCTAATATATGTGGGCATCTATTTGGGCTTACAAAATTGGGGCTCTTTTCGAGAGTTGCGAAGTTTGAGAGGAACCTCTTCTCGAACTGCATGGACCTCTGCAGGTTCACCCACCGCAATGACTCGGCTTCTGGGTTTTTGTGAGGGAATCTACTTTGTGTTACCATAGTAGTAGGGATCTATCGTATATAACCCGGTTTCCTAATTATGGTAGCTTACATTACCTCGTTTAAGAAGAGCCAAGGCTTTGGTCAAAGAGCTGCAGGAGAAGATCTTCTTGCAAAAGGCGCAGGAGACCACCAAGCTCAACCTGCAGCTGCCAGAGGACCAGGTGCCGGTCTTGTGTGCAGCGCTCCCCTATTTCGGCAACCTGGATGTGGTCATCATCCGTGACACGAAGCTGGGCTGTGAAGGTGCCAGAAGGATTGTGGAGTCTGGGTCGCGTCACATCCATCTGGATTCCTGTGACTTAAGGGTCCTTAGAAATTATTTTTGATTTTTGGTTCCTATAATCCTTCAGAAACAGCTAAAATTACAAGTGTTGAGAGCGGGCTAAGTTCGTATAGGTCAGCTCGGTGATGAGGAGGCCTTGGCAATCGCTGACGCCCTGGAGACCACCACGGGAGTAGACCAGCTGACGCTCCGCCATACGCAGATTTCTTCTTTGGGAATCGAAGCCCTGCGGGCAGCCACGAAGATCTTCGGCGCAGTGTGTATAAACCTTGACGAACAGAAGATCTCCGGGGGTGTTGCCCAATCAGTGGGGCCCACCAGTTCCATGGAAACCACGGACACGTTGAGGAATCTTTCCTTTGTCTCGGTGGAGACACCTCCCTCGCCTCCTCCGAGGTTTCCCATTCTGCTCAGAGCGTCAAGGTGGACGAAGCACTTGTGACCTGCACCGTGGTCTCTGGTGAAGTCGAATGTGGCTTCACTTGCTGCCTAGTCACCTAATGGTGATGCCTAGTGACCTCGTGTCAATGCCTAGTGTCAATGCCTAGTCAGAAACCAGTGAATGCATGCTTTGAAAGGCGGTCGTCCGAATGGACTCCGGCAGAATGTGAGGATGAAAAAGACTCCCTGAGCAAGCAGGTCAAGGCCCTTCAAGATGGGTTGCTTAGGTTAGGTGCTTGGCGTTCGGCAGTTCCAGCTTCCCTCTTCCTGTTCCGCTCGCCTTGGCTTCAGAAGACCAGTATGAGTATAACCCTAAACCCTAAGCCGTGCAGAAGACCAGTATGAGTATGATGAACTTCCAGAGGCATGACACCAAGGCGGTGCTTCGTGCTCTGCTGCATTTTGAGCCCAAAGTCCAAACCGCCAAGACTTGTACCGCCACTCACCCCTTGGGCCCATCCCTTGCCGCATGTGGCGGCGAAGGCCTTCTTCCGAAGAAGTGGAAGGGTCTGTTTACAAAGAAGAGACGCTCGCAGTGTCGGGTTGGTTCCACGTTGTAAGCCGAGGAGGTTCATGCACGCAGAAGCCGTGGGGCTGAGGTTCATACGACATATTAGATAGTATAGTGCACATGATATTATATCACATTATATACTAACTATTGTATTTTATTACATTGCATTATGTGGCCGATTGTGCTTGGCAGTACCTTTTGGCAGAGGGCGCAAGCTTTGAGGCCCATGCTTCTAGTGGCATGGCTGCCGGCGAGTCCAGGCCTGGAGGGTCATATAAGCATTTGGTGATGGGGTTTAGGGCTTTAGGGGTTTAGGGTTGCAAAGATATCGGTTCCTAGTGCCTGGGCCCATACCTGCTCCAGCATGATGTCCGAAGATTAGTGACAGAATGTGTCCACAGAGCTTTTACGACTTTGCTGTGCTGCTGCTGAGTTGCATGTTTGACCGCATGCTTGTGCCCGTTCGACGGTCTGGAACTGATGCTTTTATCTGGCCCTCAGGTTATCAGACGTGTTCCCGTTTGTCGCAAGTCAACAGAACATGCGCAGTCTTCCCCGCCACTCCCGAAACCCGATTTCGGCCGTGCTTCGAAGTCAAGAAGTGGACTGGCGGCCGCAGAGCCATGCCAGAGCGACGCGCCGGGGTGCTGCTATCTCTGCTCCTTGCGCAGCTCACGCTGGGGACAAGGCGCAAGGGCTTTCTACGTGAGATCTGTCACCATATGAGCGCCACCGTGCTGACATGTCATATCCGTTTCCAGGAATCCACGCATTGTCAGCACACAAGACTGGCCTGCGCGCAATGCTTCTGATATCGGTTATTCTCTAAACCCTAAACCGTATAGGAGGCGTCCAAGAAGGGAGGTTCTCATCAAGCGAAATTCCCGATATTTGCATTGCAGATGTCCTGAGCCTCGAACCCGAAACCCAGTCACGGCCGCGTGCAGTAGGAGTGACAATAATGGTAACAGAAATAAGACTAATGACAGTAACAATGTCAATGACAGCAGCTAGAGTCATAGTAATAACAACCATAATAAGTTCAAGAATGGCAGTGCTATTGATTATTAGAGATAATAGTAACTACTAACAGTACTAGTAGTTGTGATAGCAGTCTTCGGTTGGTAGCAGTCGCTGTCGTTGGAGTAGCAGCAGTCCTAAACTCCAAAACTTCGAGGTCTCACAGCGCAGCGCTTCAGGAGCGAAGTCCGTTAGCAGAGACGTTCTTGAACCCTGGCCTGACTTGGAGGTGCATGGGGCTTGAGGCTTAGGGTTTAGGGCTTAGGGCCAGGGCTTGGACGTGCGGTTTGGGGCCTAGGGTTTCATTGCAGTCCCAGTCTAAGGCTAAGGCTCGGCGAGGGCTGAAAGGCTGAGTTGGCAAGAGTCGAGTAATGCAGAAACTCCCCAACGTAACAGGGTGGTTTTCTTCTTGTTAGGTTCAGAATGGTAGGGACCTGCTTTTCTGAGAGATGTTATTTGCCTGCAGAAACAGTGCAAGGAAAACCGACGTGCCCGTTGGAGATCCACATGCGGCAGTCCACCAGAGCCAAGCGCAAGGTTTGGCCGTGAATCCAGATAGACTGGCACAGGAGGCCATGCAGTGAGAAAGACCCAAAGTTGAAAGTTCACTCCAGCTTCGGGCCTCTGATGATACGTAAACGGTACCATGAAGATTCCTCTTTGGTTTCCAGGCATGAAGCCCCTGGGTGGGCGTTGAGTTGTCATGTTAGCCCTGGAGGAGCCTGGCTTTGCTGTAGGCTTGCTGCAGAAGTCAGCCAGAGCTCCGACCACCAAGATCATGCCAGAGTGTCTGATGGTGGATGTGGTCATACCAGCAGTGGTTCTGACGGTGCTGGGCACGCTTGTACTTTATCTGATTTTCAGGTTTGCCGTGGACGCTGCCCCAACCACATACATGCTCGCACTGGGCGTCTACGCCAACTTCCAGGACACAACAAGGGCCGTAGACGTCTCTGAGCGCGCAAGGTCCGTACGTTACAGTAGAGTAGTATTCTGCTGTAAGGGACACTGGCAATGAGAACTGTGGACTTAAAAGGACTGCTGTGCAATCAGTATATTCTCACGACATCAGGGGCACCGGGGGTTGTGGGAGTACGCATTGGACTTGTAGCCGCAGTTAGATTCTAGTTGCGAAATTCCCTGATCGCTCTGAGGACAACCTTCTCTTCACCTTGGTCCTCGTCAAAAGCTATAGCCTCGCCGCACAATTCCAGGCCGGCCGGCTTTTTCAACGAGCTGTGGCATAGTCACCGAGTATCTGGATACCGTTGCACAGTATCCCAGATTACTTATGGTAGCTGCAGACTCTCACAAAGTAGACAACTGCCAGGCATAGGAACTGAGAAGCCGGATTCTCTTGCACCCTGGAGAGCAAAACCTAAAACCCAGAAAAATCTAAACCCTAAACCCTAAACCCTGAATCACGTCATTGAAAAGAAGGGGGTTCCTGGGGACTCTCTTTCAAGCAGAGGCCGGACCAATCACCTCGGGATGTCTGGTGGGAGCCCACAAGATGGGAACAGCCATGGGCATGGTCCTGGTGTTCTTGGCTTTGAAGGCTTCTGGGTTTCGAGAATTTTAAGTATATTTTCATTTTTAGTCTTATAAAACCCAAGAGAATGTCAAAGAGAGTATTTTTACTATGGTTCTAAGCAGGGTATAGGTTAAGGAGCTTAAGTTACCGCACTGGGCATCTATGAAAAGTAAGATGGTTTCCTTGTTGGAGAAACTCAAGTGATGTTCTTTGGCGAGGACCCACAAATAATCCATAAACCCATAAACCCCCAAAACCCTCCAACCCGTAAGCCCCAAGCCCTAGAACTCTAAACCCTAAACCCCCAGAACCCCCCAACCCATAAACCCTAAGCCCTAGAGCTCTAAACCCTAAACCCTAAACCCTAAACCCTAAACCCTAACCCCCTAAACCCTAAACCCTAAACCCTAACCCCCTAACCCCCTAAACCCTAAACCCTAAGCCCTAAACCCTAAACCCTGGAAACCGAAACCTTCAGGTTTTCCCGGAGTGCTGGCGTCGACCCCACCTTGGACTCCTCGTCGGCGCCTTTTTGCAGATCGCCGCCGCCGGCAGCTTCGCCGCCTTGGCCTTCTTTGAGGCCCGGAGGATCCACCCTAAACCCTAAACCCAAAACTGAATCCTTAAACCCCAAAAATCCTTGAATCTCTGAGATCCCCTAAAACCCCTAAAACCCCCCTGACTATACCCTTAAATCCCCTAAACCCAAAACACCCTACGACGGTTGATGATATAAATCCTGCATTAGGTTAATGACCCTAAACTATGGGAATTATGGTATACTCCTTATCATGGGTCATGCAGGATTTATATCATCCTAAACCCTAAACCCCCTATAGATCCCTTAAAGGAGCCTCTTAAAGGTAGCCTTATAGATGCCTAGGATTTATGTCCGTAGTACCGCAAAGTGAGGCCCCGACGAGCGGCTGGGTCTTGTGGGTCCTGGTGGCGTCCCGACTCCTCTTGGGCCTGGGGGGGGGGGGGGGGGCTTCAGGTCAGGGGCCCCAAAAAAGGGTCTCTAGGGTTCAGGGGGGATAGGGTTTAGGGGTTTCGGGGGGTTTAGGGTTCAGGGGGATAGGGTGCAGGGGTTTCGGGGGTGTGGGGTTTAGGGGTTTAGTTTATTTTTTTGAAAGGGTTTTTTAGGGTTTAGGGGTTTAGGGTTTTGGGGTTTAGCACAATCACTTTGTGGGAATATCCCAACCCCATTGGGCTGCATTACAAAGGCGTGTTTTCTGGGATATCCTAAACCCTAAAACCTAAACCCCATCAGGTCAGCCTTGCCTGGAACCTGGCCGCCCGCTTGGTGGGCGAGAGCCGTGAGCTCCACAACTTGCGTTTGTTTGTGGCTTACCTTTGCTCAGTAGAGAATGGAAGAATGGTAGTAATAGTAGTTATAATGGTAGTAATATGATAGCTATATAATAGTAATATGGTAGTAATCTGGTAGTAATATGGTAGTAATATGGTAGTTATATGGTAGTAATAGTAGTTATATTTGTACCCCATTCCTCCATTCCCTACTAACCAAAGATAAGGTGGCCGGCTGCTGCTCGTTCTGCGGAACTTGGCCCTGGCATCCCTCGAGGTGGGAACGGCAGAGCTTTTCCAGAAGAAGTACTACTTTCCACCTGTGGCTGTTGGCTTGTTCTGTGCCCTCATCGTCTTCACCGCGCTGCCAGTGCAGCTTCTCTACGAGAGGCTGCAGGGCCACATATCCCTGCATGCCATGCTTTGGGCAAGTTTCGCTGCCGGCTGCTTCCTAATGTTTGAAAGCTTTTCCGCCCTCTTCACGGCCTCAATGCTCTTCTTTCCGATGATGGCGCTGAGCAGTGGCATCGTCATGGCGCACCGTCGGCCGCAAGAAGTTCTGGTTTCGAGAGTCCGTGTGGGGGGAAATTTGTGCGGGCTTGGAGGGTCAAACCCCCTTCATTTCAGTGCGGTAGGTCCTGTGTGAAGGAATAGGTGTAGAAATCTCCAGTGAAGTTCAACAGTGAAGTTCAACATGGAGGCATTGACCTCAACTTTACACGACTTTGCGAGATGTTGCCAAGGAAGATGCAGGAATACGTGATGCCGGATGGTTCGTTGCTCGACAGGACCCGCTCTGTGCACGGCAATACTGAAAGTCCGCCTTTTCAGGCTTTTTGACTAATGTCCACTGGAGCGTCTGTGGCATCAGCAACTTGTGATTACCCAGTTCTTTAGCACCTGAAAAATCCAGTAGCTGTCGGATGCTCTTGACCCAAGCATCGGCTTCTCACTTCTTTAGATTGTGAGGGGAGTCAGGGTCAGGGTGTAGAGTTGCATGCCCCAAGTGGAGCTCAGCTGTCGTAGGAACACCACGACGCTGCTGGGCCTTGTGATGGCCGATTTCCTGGGTCGGGGCTTAGGGCCCATCTCGGCGCGCTATGGCATCTACCTGGGCGGGCAAAGGGGTTTCGCTTTGACCCAAGTGACGTATGCGGCCTTAAGCTTGGTGCTGTTCGTGTTGAGTGAGACTGCCAGCAAGAAGGCAAGGAAGGATACCTCGGAGAGCAGTCCTCAGAGCCAGAGTGAGGAGAGTAGCAGTAGCAAGGGAGACTGAGCTTTTCACTCGCTCCCATGCAGAAACGTGCGGGGAGGATGCCGAACTGGTGCGCCTTTTCAGTGCAGTGGCATTGCAAAGACGAACAGACGCTGTTTCTTTTCTGGTCGTTTGCTGCTCTACCCAAACCCTAAACCGCAGACGAATCGAAATCGCAGCAAGGGGCACGGAAGTAACCTCATGACAGGGGCGGCGGCAGATTGAACAAATATTTTTCGAATTGGAGGCGCCGGTGGGGGTGGAGGTATGCCCATGATTGGGGATGTTTGAGCTGATTTTGGTAAACCCTGACCCTCAGAGCCTCAGGGTCAGATTGTTTAGGTTGTCAACATGAAGAAGCCATGGTTTCCATGTACGGTTGACTGCGTGGGGACCATAAATCGAAACCTGGTACACAAAGGTTCCAGCATGATCGGAGTTTTTGGGATCAAAGGATTCGGGGCTTGCGGATTTAGCGGCCGGTGTTGGGAAGCTAAACTGGACATTGGGCGGGAACTTGGGTTCCTTTGCGCACTTCTCAAACTTTAGCCCGAGTGCCAGTGCAGTAGTAGTTAGGACTGGATAGAACTGTGTCGAGAACGGGGCTGCGCTGCGATTCTTCTGAATTTTGTGAAAGAATAGTAATCGCGTTGGGATGATGTTGATGATGCTGACAAGACGAATGGTGTGATGGTGATGGTGATGATGATGATGCTGTTGGTGATGGTGACGGTGGCGTTGATGATGGTCATAATGAGGACGACGATGACGACGACCTATGATAATGACATGGTTGATGCCGATGCTGATGGCTGTGGTTGGAGTGCGGGCGATGGCAATGAGACGTGCTTGGGTCCGTGTTGTGTTGTGCCGCGAGAAGTACATACAAACGACCCACCAAACAGATCAATCACATGGTTTTCCCGTAAGCATGTCAAACGTAGTTGAGATTCTTGCGAGATTTGATGTCCGTATGGGTGGTTTTTGGTCCTTAATATAATACGACACCTAATATTTAGGGTACCCAAAAGGGAACCATAGTTTTTTGACAACTACCTATATGCTTGGGTGACGATACTTGTTACGTTTTGAGAGCATCTTGTCCTGTGGCTCGCCCTCTTTGACAGGTGGCAGGCTCCACTGCACATGGCACCTCCCTGACCACAGCATCTGAGATGCCGTGGCGGAAGAGGCCTCTTCCGAAAGCTGAATGCTCTGCGACCGTGTTCACGGATGCTCCACGTGTGACCTATGACCACGTTTTGTGAAGTCTTGCCTTGGTTGCTAACGGTCCCAACGGTGACTCGCCGTAGGGAGCTTCGCAAGATACAGCACAGGACACTTCAGCTGCTGCTCCATGCAAAGGTGTTAACATGGACGTGCGAAGGACAGTCGGGTCCCTATTCCAAATGCCCCTTGCAAGTGGCATCAGATCTCTTTGTTGTATTGTTTGTGCGAAGCATTCGCTTCTGAAGCTAATCATTCGGTCGTTATGAAACACATATGACCTTCGAACCCACACCTGTTTAGTGGTCGGAGACTATTTGGGATGATTCGGTCGTCGGATCTGTTTCTGGGACACAGAGCTCCACAATGCTGCAGAGTCCCCCTCCTTAGCGTCCTGTGGCTACCTGCTAAAGGTCACCGCAAGCTCCTACAGAGGTCTGTAGTCGACCTGCGACCAGCTGGGCAGCAACATGTGCTTGTATTCAAAGGGTTCTTTTCCAGTTCTTGTGTGACCCACCCATCCACCTGAAAAGTGCATTGCGCTTCAATCCACCGCCAGCGTTTTTCTCAGACGTTGGCTCCTTCACAACTGCCTCGCCATGGCTTCCTGGTTGACACCTGCCTTTCATGCGGAGGGTGGCATGCCGCTGATTCATCCATGGATGGCACCGGACCTGTGCGAACGCGGGCCCAATGTGCAGCAGCAACGGGCAGTTGATCGCATCAAGGAACAGCATGGTGGGGTGTTACCCAGTGATTTGTACAATCAGACGCTTGGGGTGCAGGATATTCTCGCTTAGAGGAGGATGGATGCAAAGACGTCGAGAACAAAGAAGCAGATAAAGTGGAACATTGGATGTTGTACTTAATTCATGATATCTCAAGTTTGGATGCTTGTTTTAGAAAAGTCATGGTGATCTGGAGCCACATCTGCCGTGGTGCCAAGGACCAACGCTGAGTTGGGGAAGATGGTGGAGGACTTGACCGGTCGGCGGCCACCACCGCGCACCTCCAAGACCACCTTGGTGAGTCGTATCGAGCGAGCGAGTTTGGGGGACATGCGCAAGTCCAAAACGGCGCAGGTCTGTGAGAAGGCTCCAAAACGAGGTGCGAAACTCAAGAAAGGGTTTCGGGTTTCGGGGTTTAAGGTTTAGGGGTTTAGGGGTTTAGATGTCCGTGGGTCCAAGGGGTCTTGGAAACGATCAGTTGGTCGAATGCTTCTTGACGGTGAGCTGTTGGTTTGAACTTTGTCGTTGCCAGTGTCCATGAACTCAATCTCCACACCCAATGGAGTGCAGTATATGCCCGATATTTCTTCTGCACAAAGCAACCAGAAACCCTAAACCCTATACCCTCCACCCTTAACCCCAAACTTCCCTAAACCCGGTAACCTATACCCTTAACCCAAAACGACTGAGGTTGCCGTGCCACCATCTCGAAGGGGCAACTGGCGCAGATGAGATCCGTCTTGAAGTCGGAGGCTTCTGCGCTCGCGCTGCGCCACAGCCACAAGGACCTCGAGAAGATGTGGAACCGCATGGGGATGATTGCCATGTATCCCAAAATGACGGGAACCTCGGCTTCGCAGGTTGGTTGGCTTGTTTGAGGGTTAGGGGGTTTGTGGTTGATGCCAGAGCCAGAAATGGAAGTTGAGTCGAAGAAAGATGCACTGCCGTGCGACACTTTTGGACATAACTCGCTCCTGGTTTGCCTCAAGTGCACCTAATTGAGTGCACAATGTTGCTGTCACTGGAACGTGTGTGGTTTGAAAACCGACACCAAACCGACTTTCGTTCATTCTGGACCTAAGGCAAGGAGACTGTGATCTCAAGAATGAAGGCCTTTGCCACTCGAAACATCGAACACCATGGCCTATAGGTTTTTCGGGCGTGGCTACCGGGACCCGGGGAGGCATTGAATTTGGGGTCGTGCCTTCTGATAGGGACGCCGTGGGAAAGACCGTGTGTCTGAATACCGTGGCAGCGAGATAGCGTACAGTGGCCTACTGCGACGAAAAAAGCGTCCTTCGACTGCTCACGGAACTGCCAAGCAAGTTGCACATGGCTGTGTCTCTGACTCCTTCTTGCATCGATGTTCGTTCTCAGTTCCGGTCATGATACCTCTGCCACTGCTCGGCCCCATCCCAAAGAAGCGGGTTGTGGGTGCCGTTGTGTTTGTTCAGCGTGTGAAAGATTGCGAACCTTGTCGATGAGATCAGAAAGCAGCCAGTTTATACGTGGGGTTATAAGTCCCCTAGCCCTAATATGGGTTATGAGTGTGGTTACCCTACAGTACTTACGACCCTACTTGTAACTACCCATGAACCGCCAAGTAGCATCAGTCGTGATCGTAGCTCAGAGAAGGAACGTAGCGGTTGCTAAGGCCGAGGACGCGTGGGGCAGCCTCATGCCCAGAGACTCCAGTATCCCTTAATTAAGGAATACTCCATAAATTATAGTAGGATCCCTAATATGATTTACGGTATATTCCCGAATTAAGGGATATTGGAGTCTCTGGGTGCCCGGAAGAGATCGTCACAGGAGAGGGTTCCATGTCAGCAGATTGGGAGTTTCAGAGAATTAGGGGTACCTTATTTCGGGCTCCTTGTAATAAGGATCCTACTATGTAGGGTACTATATTAGGGGTACCTTATTTTGGGCTGCTTCTAAGAAGGATCCGACTGTTTAGGGTACTATGTTAGGATCCCCCATTTTCGGAAACTCCCCGATCTGGCGTCTTGCAGTGAACTCGTTGAGCTTCAGGAGCGAGATGTGGACAGCCAGCTGGCCTCTGAGGAGATGGCAATACCCAGAGACTCCAATATCCCTTAATTATGGAATATACCTTAAATCATATTAGGGATCCTACTATAATTTAAGGAGTATTCCTTAATTAAGGGATACTGGAGTCTCCGGGTACCGGTGCGTCAGCTGTTGTTATCGTGCCGGCGGTGGTGATGGTGGTGGTAGTTGTGGGTGTTGTTAGTATCACAGCCAACTACAGAGTGATTTGCACACCCTTGCCCCTTGCTCCGGCTATTGGTCGGTCATGTTGCAGCAAGAAATCGAAGGAGTGTCTCCTTTCCATTGACGGTATAGGAGCCACAATCCTAAACCCAGGATGGCCTGGCAGTTTACAAACGGAACACTCCGATTCGCACGCGAGCGGCTGAGAGCTCTGGGTGAATGGTACGTGTCGCACCAGCTTGGACTGTGGCCTGCACAGTAACCCCACAACCATATGCCATAAGCCTCAATCTCGATCCCCAAGTGTGGGAGCGACCGCGAGTTCTTTCAGATATGGAATCATGTCGACCATCGTATGCTAGAGCGGTTTACATCGCGGCATTTCAGAGCGTACCGGTTTTGCTCCCAAGTTTGTGTTATAGATGTTGTCGACCACAGGCAAGCATGATTCATCCTTGTGTCCTGTTTTAGAGTTCATGTCCATGATGCTCCAGACCTTTCGGCTCAGCTTCTCAAGTATCCACCCTGACCGTCGGAATGTGGACGCCTGTACTTCAGGGTTTCTTTGTCATGGTTGGGTAGCATTGTGCATCTTTATGGTTACTTAAAATCCAATAAGTAATAAAGATGTACATTTTTTGTCCTTTCCCGACCATGAGCTAGGTTTGCTCATCCTGGCACACGCTGGCGAAGTGACGGCGGCCTGCCAGTCGGCGGAGCTTGACTTTATCGTGCAAGCCGGTGATGCAGTCCTGGCAGCGATTGAAGATGATGTCCCTCTGTCATAGATGGATGAGAATGCTACATGTCTATGGGTACTTAAGTTCCAATAAGGAATAGAAGTTTGCATTTGTAGTACTATCCCAACCATGAACTAGGTCCGTGCAGACCTTGCCAAGCTGGGGATCACCGTGAACACCCGCTTCCTCGAAAAAGACGATTTCAACTCGAACATGACGTCCGGCAACTTTAACCTCTGCTTCTCAGAGACATGGGGTCCGCCCTATGATCCGCACAGCTATGCTGCATCATGGAAGTCACCCGACGAAGCACATTATGCAGCTCTTCAGGGAATGCAGCCACCTTTGACGCAAGATCAGCTGTCGACAAAAATCTCTGATGTGCTCCTGGAAGAAAACTTGCAGCAGCGAGAGCAGAAATGGAAAGACATTTTGTCGGGACTCCACGAGCAAGCCATAGACTTGCCTTTCTCAGGCAAGCGCATGCCCACAGTGCTCTCCAAGCGTCTTGCAGGGTATGTGCCGGGGCAACAGCAGTTCGACTATCCAGTGCACACCCTGCGGGCTCTCAGCGGCAGCACAACGATAACTGTTGCCCCAGGGGCGCAAACTGGACTCTTCAGTTCTGTTGGGCGAATGGATCCTCACACGTACCGACCGAACGAGTTCTTCGCCAACAATTGGGTCTACGAGGGTTTGACGAAATATGGCGCAAATGGAGTCACTGAGCCAGCGCTGGCCGCGTCTTGGACGTTCAGCGATTTGCCTTCGGGGGGTCAGGAGTATCGGTTCACTCTCGCGCAGAATGTGAAGTTCCACGATGGCTCCGATTGGAACTGTACTGTCGCCAAGCTGAACTTTGATCACGTGCTCGCCAAGCCTTTGACATCAGGTGACGAGCATGGTTGGTACGATTTGCCAGCACAAATTGTCTCCTGGAGCTGTGCTGGGGACTATGAGTTCGTGCTTTCCACGAAGGACAAGTACTACCCACTGCTGCAGGAGCTTACCTACATCCGGCCACTGCGAATGCTCTCCCCTGCCATGTTCGCAAGCGGCCTCACAACGGATCCAACCACTGAGAACTCGTGTTATTCGCCCGGTAGGGTTGTCACAAACTTCGGGGAAACCATCACTTGTGCAGGCACGCGGGGTGCTTCCGGAACCGGACCTTTCAAGTTCGTCGAAACCCTTTCAAACGGCGATGTGAGGTTCGACAGGCACAGTGAGTATTCGGGAGGAGAGCCGAAGATCGAGCGGATCATCCTGAAGAAGTACGAAACCCACTCCGAGGTGATGGCCGCTCTTCTGGATGGGAGCCTCGACGCGGTCATGGGCGCTGGTGTGCTTGAGCCAGAAGACTTCCACACCCTGCACACGACGCACGCTTTCCGATTCCAGATGTTCTTGGGCCCACCCATTATGAACCGCGTGATCATCATGAATGCGGCCAAGGCTCCAACCGACAACCTGAACCTTCGGAAGACCATTATGCACGCAGTTAACAAGGCAGAAATTATTGACAAGGAGCTCTTCGGAATGGCGGCGCCAGTTGACGCGCTCTTCCCGAAGAACTTGCCGTACTGCGACGTCGATCTCACGCCCCGCTGGGACTACGACCGGGAGAAGGTGTCTCGCCGGTTTGTCTGTGTCTTTCACTTGTGCCGTGCCTCACTCTGAAGTTTAAGGTTCAGAGTCCAGGGTTTCCTTGAGATGTCGAAGCCAGGCAGAGCTACTTTGGTGCTCGGCGGCGGCCGAAGAATCGGGCGGCAACGTGACGGTGACTGGACTCTCCTTGGGCGCTGGTTGTTTCATGTCTGTGCACATGTTGTTCCAGAGTCGAATAGGAAGACGGTCTTGAGCAGTGTTCCTTTCAGAGTCTAGGTGACGGTGCTGGTCATTGTAATCGTCGTCGCCGTTGTTGCCGTGGCGGTCGTTGCCTTCTTCTTGTTCAAGCTTGGAAAGAAGCAGGGGGCGGATGAGCAGAAGCTGCTGCACGCAAAGGCAGCAGGTGAACCTCCAGCTGGGCAGATGGGCAAAGTGGATGAGGCTGCAGTCTGAATTAACTTGCACTGTTACTCGTAGTTTGCTGTGCAGGAACCTGCCACAGCTGCAAAGGCATGGTAGCAGCTGCAGTCAACTACTGACTGCAGGCTCCATGCAGAACCACGATTTTGAGCCAGATTATGGTTGATGTTTCATCTCTGGCATCCAACCGAGGGGAACAAGTTCAGAATCAGAAGCCCGGGACCCGACAGTGAGGTTTTTTTCCGTCCCCTTCAACCACAGACTGTGCAAGGAGCTATTGAGTGGTGTTTGCGTTGAAAACCAAGTTAAGCAGCAATTCACGTGGCCACAGGGGGACATGCCGTTGGGTCCAACGGGCGTGCAAAGAGTGTTTTTCTGTCCGCGCGGAGGAAGCATGCTCTGTAATTTCTGCTTGCCGTCCCCCGAGACCTCCAATTAGTCTCTAATTGCCCTACCCTACACCCAAAACCCAAAACCCTAAGCCCCAAAAACCCTGAACCCTAGCTTTATCATTTAAGGGTTCAACCTTAAAGCTGCAACAACAATGCGTGAGACTGCTCCCAGGAGAAGCCCCGAACTTGTTGCCGCCGGCGACAACACCTGGCAGAGGTTTCGGCTCGCTGGTTTGAGGGATTAGTTTTGGGCCCACTTTGTTGAAAATGGCCTTTGGGACACGATTGGGAGGATGTTATGAACTGATGTCCTGCTGTAGAGTTCTAGTCCATGATGCTCAAGACCTTTCGGCTCAGCTTCTCGAGTATCCACTGTGGCCGTCGGAATGTGGACGCCTGTACTTCAGGGTTTCCTTGTCATAGTTGGGTAACACTTTGCATGTTTCTGCTTACTTAAACCCAATAAGTAGTGGAGATGTACATTTTTTATCCTCTCCCCTTTTTATGGTTACTTAAACATCCAATAAGTAATAAAGATGTACATTTTTTTGTCCTTTCCCGACCATCAGCTAGGTTTGCTCATCCTGGCACACGCTGGCGAAGTGAGGGCGGCCTGCCAGTCGGCGGAGCTTGACTTCATCGTGCAAGCCGGTGATGCAGTCCTGGCGGCCATTGAAGATGATGTCCCTCTGTCATAGTTGGATGAGAATGTTACATGTCTATGGGTACGTAAGTTCCAATAAGGAATAGAAGTTCAATTTTTTTTGTACTATCCCAACTATGAACTAGGTCCGTGCAGACCTGGCCAAGCTGGGGATCACCGTGAACACCCGCTTCCTCGAGAAAGAGGATTTCAACTCGAACATGACGTCCGGCAACTTTAACCTCTGCTTCTCAGAGACATGGGGTCCGCCCTATGATCCGCACAGCTATGCTGCATCATGGAAGTCACCCGACGAAGCACATTATGCAGCTCTTCAGGGAATGCAGCCACCTTTGACGCAAGATCAGCTGTCGACAAAAATCTCTGATGTGCTCCTGGAAGAAAACTTGCAGCAGCGAGAGCAGAAATGGAAAGACATTTTGTCGGGACTCCACGAGCAAGCCATAGACTTGCCTTTCTCAGGCAAGCGCATGCCCACAGTGCTCTCCAAGCGTCTTGCAGGGTATGTGCCGGGGCAACAGCAGTTCGACTATCCAGTGAACACCCTGCGGGCTCTCAGCGGCAGCACAACGATAACTGTTGCCCCAGGGGCGCAAACTGGACTCTTCAGTTCTGTTGGGCGAATGGATCCTCACACGTACCGACCGAACGAGTTCTTCGCCAACAATTGGGTCTACGAGGGTTTGACGAAATATGGCGCAAATGGAGTCACTGAGCCAGCGCTGGCCGCGTCTTGGACGTTCAGCGATTTGCCTTCGGGGGGTCAGGAGTATCGGTTCACTCTCGCGCAGAATGTGAAGTTCCACGATGGCTCCGATTGGAACTGTACTGTCGCCAAGCTGAACTTTGATCACGTGCTCGCCAAGCCTTTGACATCAGGTGACGAGCATGGTTGGTACGATTTGCCAGCACAAATTGTCTCCTGGAGCTGTGCTGGGGACTATGAGTTCGTGCTTTCCACGAAGGACAAGTACTACCCACTGCTGCAGGAGCTGACCTACATCCGGCCGCTGCGAATGCTCTCCCCTGCCATGTTCGCCAGCGGCCTCACAACGGATCCAACCACTGAGAACTCGTGTTATTCGCCCGGTAGGGTTGTCACAAACTTCGGGGAAACCATCACTTGTGCAGGCACGCGGGGTGCTTCCGGAACCGGACCTTTCAAGTTCGTCGAAACCCTTTCAAACGGCGATGTGAGGTTCGACAGGCACAGTGAGTATTCGGGAGGAGAGCCGAAGATTGAGCGGATCATCCTGAAGAAGTACGACAGCCACTCGGAGGTGATGGCCGCTCTTCTGGATGGGAGCCTCGACGCGGTCATGGGCGCTGGTGTGCTTGAGCCAGAAGACTTCCACACCCTCCACACGACGCATGCTTTCCGATTCCAGATGTTCTTGGGCCCACCCATTATGAACCGCGTGATCATCATGAATGCGGCCAAGGCTCCAACCGACAACCTGAACCTTCGGAAGACCATTATGCACGCAGTTAACAAGGCAGAAATTATTGACAAGGAGCTCTTCGGAATGGCGGCGCCAGTTGACGCGCTCTTCCCGAAGAACTTGCCCTACTGCGACGTCGATCTCACGCCCCGCTGGGACTACGACCGGGAGAAGGTGTCTCGCCGGTTTGTCTGTGTCTTTCACTTGTGCCGTGCCTCACTCTGAAGTTTAAGGTTCAGAGTCCAGGGTTTCCTTGAGATGTCGAAGCCAGGCAGAGCTACTTTGGTGCTCGGCGGCGGCCGAAGAATCGGGCGGCAACGTGACGGTGACTGGACTCTCCTTGGGCGCTGGTTGTTTCATGTCTGTGCACATGTTGTTCCAGAGTCGAATAGGAAGACGGTCTTGAGCAGTGTTCCTTTCAGAGTCTAGGTGACGGTGCTGGTCATTGTAATCGTCGTCGCCGTTGTTGCCGTGGCGGTCGTCGCCTTCTTCTTGTTCAAGCTTGGAAAGAAGCAGGGGGCGGATGAGCAGAAGCTGCTGCACGCAAAGGCAGCAGGTGAACCTCCAGCTGGGCAGATGGGCAAAGTGGATGAGGCTGCAGTCTGAATTAACTTGCACTGTTACTCGTAGTTTGCTGTGCAGGAACCTGCCACAGCTGCAAAGGCATGGTAGCAGCTGCAGTCAACTACTGACTGCAGGCTCCATGCAGAACCACGATTTTGAGCCAGATGATGGTTGATGTCTCATCTCTGGCATCCAACCGAGGGGAACAAGTTCAGAATCAGAAGCCCGGGACCCGACAGTGAGGTTTTTTTCCGTCCCCTTCAACCACAGACTGTGCAAGGAGCTATTGAGTGGTGTTTGCGTTGAAAACCAAGTTAAGCAGCAATTCACGTGGCCACAGGGGGACATGCCGTTGGGTCCAACGGGCGTGCAAAGAGTGTTTTTCTGTCCGCGCGGAGGAAGCATGCTCTGTAATTTCTGCTTGCCGTCCCCCGAGACCTCCAATTAGTCTCTAATTGCCCTACCCTACACCCAAAACCCAAAACCCTAAGCCCCAAAAACCCTGAACCCTAGCTTTATCATTTAAGGGTTCAACCTTAAAGCTGCAACAACAAAGCGTGACACTGCTCCCAGGAGAAGCCCCGAACTTGTTGCCGCCGGCGACAACACCTGGCAGAGGTTTCGGCTCGCTGGTTTGAGGGATTAGTTTTGGGCCCACTTTGTTGAAAATGGGCCTTTGGGACACGATTGGGAGGATGTTATGAACTGATGTCCTGCTGTAGAGTTCTAGTCCATGATGCTCAAGACCTTTCGGCTCAGCTTCTCGAGTATCCACTGTGGCCGTCGGAATGTGGACGCCTGTACTTCAGGGTTTCCTTGTCATAGTTGGGTAACATTTTACATGTTTCTGGTTACTTAAACCCAATAAGTAGTGGAGATGTACATTTTTTATCCTCTCCCCTTTTTATGGTTACTTAAAAATCCAATAAGTAATAAAGATGTAGATTTTTTGTCCTTTCCCGACCATCAGCTAGGTTTGCTCATCCTGGCACACGCTGGCGAAGTGAGGGCGGCCTGCCAGTCGGCGGAGCTTGACTTCATCGTGCAAGCCGGTGATGCAGTCCTGGCGGCCATTGAAGATGATGTCCCTGTCATAGTTGGATGAGAATGTTACATGTCTATGGGTACGTAAGTTCCAATAAGGAATAGAAGTTCAATTTTTTTGTACTATCCCAACTATGAACTAGGTCCGTGCAGACCTGGCCAAGCTGGGGATCACCGTGAACACCCGCTTCCTCGAGAAAGAGGATTTCAACTCGAACATGACGTCCGGCAACTTTAACCTCTGCTTCTCAGAGACCTGGGGTCCGCCCTATGATCCGCACAGCTATGCTGCATCATGGAAGTCACCCGACGAAGCACATTATGCAGCTCTTCAGGGAATGCAGCCACCTTTGACGCAAGATCAGCTGTCGACAAAAATCTCTGATGTGCTCCTGGAAGAAAACTTGCAGCAGCGAGAGCAGAAATGGAAAGACATTTTGTCGGGACTCCACGAGCAAGCCATAGACTTGCCTTTCTCAGGCAAGCGCATGCCCACAGTGCTCTCCAAGCGTCTTGCAGGGTATGTGCCGGGGCAACAGCAGTTCGACTATCCAGTGCACACCCTGCGGGCTCTCAGCGGCAGCACAACGATAACTGTTGCCCCAGGGGCGCAAACTGGACTCTTCAGTTCTGTTGGGCGAATGGATCCTCACACGTACCGACCGAACGAGTTCTTCGCCAACAATTGGGTCTACGAGGGTTTGACGAAATATGGCGCAAATGGAGTCACTGAGCCAGCGCTGGCCGCGTCTTGGACGTTCAGCGATTTGCCTTCAGGGGGTCAGGAGTATCGGTTCACTCTCGCGCAGAATGTGAAGTTCCACGATGGCTCCGATTGGAACTGTACTGTCGCCAAGCTGAACTTTGATCACGTGCTCGCCAAGCCTTTGACATCAGGTGACGAGCATGGTTGGTACGATTTGCCAGCACAAATTGTCTCCTGGAGCTGTGCTGGGGACTATGAGTTCGTGCTTTCCACGAAGGACAAGTACTACCCACTGCTGCAGGAGCTTACCTACATCCGGCCACTGCGAATGCTCTCCCCTGCCATGTTCGCAAGCGGCCTCACAACGGATCCAACCACTGAGAACTCGTGTTATTCGCCCGGTAGGGTTGTCACAAACTTCGGGGAAACCATCACTTGTGCAGGCACGCGGGGTGCTTCCGGAACCGGACCTTTCAAGTTCGTCGAAACCCTTTCAAACGGCGATGTGAGGTTCGACAGGCACAGTGAGTATTCGGGAGGAGAGCCGAAGATCGAGCGGATCATCCTGAAGAAGTACGACAGCCACTCGGAGGTGATGGCCGCTCTTCTGGATGGGAGCCTCGACGCGGTCATGGGCGCTGGTGTGCTTGAGCCAGAAGACTTCCACACCCTCCACACGACGCATGCTTTCCGATTCCAGATGTTCTTGGGCCCACCCATTATGAACCGCGTGATCATCATGAATGCGGCCAAGGCTCCAACCGACAACCTGAACCTTCGGAAGACCATTATGCACGCAGTTAACAAGGCAGAAATTATTGACAAGGAGCTCTTCGGAATGGCGGCGCCAGTTGACGCGCTCTTCCCGAAGAACTTGCCCTACTGCGACGTCGATCTCACGCCCCGCTGGGACTACGACCGGGAGAAGGTGTCTCGCCGGTTTGTCTGTGTCTTTCACTTGTGCCGTGCCTCACTCTGAAGTTTAAGGTTCAGAGTCCAGGGTTTCCTTGAGATGTCGAAGCCAGGCAGAGCTACTTTGGTGCTCGGCGGCGGCCGAAGAATCGGGCGGCAACGTGACGGTGACTGGACTCTCCTTGGGCGCTGGTTGTTTCATGTCTGTGCACATGTTGTTCCAGAGTCGAATAGGAAGACGGTCTTGAGCAGTGTTCCTTTCAGAGTCTAGGTGACGGTGCTGGTCATTGTAATCGTCGTCGCCGTTGTTGCCGTGGCGGTCGTTGCCTTCTTCTTGTTCAAGCTTGGAAAGAAGCAGGGGGCGGATGAGCAGAAGCTGCTGCACGCAAAGGCAGCAGGTGAACCTCCAGCTGGGCAGATGGGCAAAGTGGATGAGGCTGCAGTCTGAATTAACTTGCACTGTTACTCGTAGTTTGCTGTGCAGGAACCTGCCACAGCTGCAAAGGCATGGTAGCAGCTGCAGTCAACTACTGACTGCAGGCTCCATGCAGAACCACGATTTTGAGCCAGATGATGGTTGATGTCTCATCTCTGGCATCCAACCGAGGGGAACAAGTTCAGAACCAGAAGCCCGGGACCCGACAGTGAGGTTTTTTTGCGTCCCCTTCAACCACAGACTGTGCAAGGAGCTACTGGGGGGTTTTATGCGTTGAAAGCCAAGTTAAGCAGTGATTCACGTGGCCACAGGGGGACATGCCGTTGGGTCCAACGGGCGTGCAAAGAGTGTTTTTTCTGTCCGCGCGGAGGAAGCATGCTCTGTAATTTCTGCTTGCCGTCCCCCGAGACCTCCAATTAGTCTCTAATTGCCCTACCTACACCCAAAACCCCAAACCCCAAAAACCGTAAACTCTAGCTTTAACATCTCTCGGTTCAACGTTAAAGCACGAGACTCACAACACCTGGTAGAGGTTTTGTCTCGCTGGTTTGAGGGATTAGTTTTCGGCCGGGTTTGTTGAAAGTGGGCCTTTGGGACAAGATTGGGAGGATGTTTGCGGTGTGTCGGACGGGGAAGGTATACACATTGGCTGGAGTTGCAACTCCCCGAACATGCGACGAAAGTAATTTCGCCAACCTTGTGATTCGATCAGCATTGAGGTCTGAGTCGTATTGCGGTCATGATGGTGATAACTAACTAGCATGCATTCAGCTTTTCCCGGCAACAGTTTTGGTGCAGGCGTGCTTGTTTGGTTGCCATTCCAGGCAAGCTGATGACGTTCTACCTTTCAGCTTGCCAAGTGGACAAGGCCAGAGGTGTGTCGCCTCAGTGGTGGGGGTTCCATGCGGGCGTGTCATTGCATTTTTGGTGTTCTTGCTGTTCGGTTTGAAAGGTCTTGATTGTTGTGTTTGTTGTCAATGCCGTCATGTTGGTTGGCATGATGTCTGTTGGCAACCCTTTGAGCACCAGTATGCACAGGGATGTTCGACGCTTGTGTCCTTGTCCTGTGACCACAACACGCCCTTGAATGCAGGGCAAGCCGTCTGGGCTTCGAAGTGAAGCCAGTGAGGCCGTGCTTCCGTGTATGATGTTTGGAAGCAAGTGTTCTTTGTAGCAGAGCTTGGCCGCATCATCTCATGAACGGCTTGTCCTTAAAAATGCTCAGCTGGGGCAGTGCCTTGACGTGTCAGGCACATGCTCAAGGAACTTCCCTAGTAATCGTATGCCGGGGTCAGAAGTTTCAGTAATGTGGACTTACCACTCTCGTTTACAGACGAGGGTTGGAACATCTTTTGACTTGGTCCGGTGAGTCCCGGCCTTTTTCGCCTAGGTGCTGTCGCCGCTTGTCGCTGGACTGTACGACTCTCAGAGTGTATTTGCCGCAGGATGAATAGCAAGGCCAGGAAGCCGACGAACAGGACACTGAAAATACCGCACACGATCAAGCACGAGCACCTTCAAATGAGCACCACATCACAGCCTGCAATTCTTCGGAACTCCCGCCTTCTCCCGCGACTCCATGCCAGGGGCAGCACCATTTTGAGCTGGAGGAGCTTGTCAGGGAGGACTCGGAGCAACCTCACAAGTTCATCACCAAAGCCGCGCAGGCACCGCTATGAGAGGAACCTGATCAAGCAACCGCTGATCTACAACGAGATTACTGGGATCCTGTTGTTTTCTGTATCACAACCAGGTGTTTCTATACCCAGGCTTTTGCAGGCAGTTTTACAGTACGCTCGCAACACTGCGACAGGTGTACAGATTCATTGGTTCAGGTCTCATGTCATGAGGTAGTGGTTGTTGTTTCGGTGTTGCACAAGAGGAGGGAAGGTTTGTAGCTGAGGTACTTCCTCTAGTTTGCGGATTCTGCAGACTGTGGTGCCCTCAAGAACCGCCCGTTAGTAATATCAACGTGGTCACACTTGCATCTTTGCACCGAAATCATGTGAGCTGCCAAAGTTATTAAGGCCGAAACTTTCTGATTTCAGAGCCTCAATGTTAAACATCAGGTGCCCAGAAACTTTGATGGTGCCAAAGATGGAGGCCCCTCCTGGATCGCTTGGATCGTTTGGGCCGGTTGTGGAAGATCTTGCAGGGATGTTGGTACTGGGTCAGGGGTTACTCCAGATTTCGTGAGCTCTGCCTGACTTTTTCAGAACTGCCATTAGGACGAAGTCGCAGGAGATGTAGGTGTTTGCATGTTCTGGGACTCCGACTGCAGCTTGCAGAGCAAAATCGAGTTCCCCAATGAGCGTAGCTGCTGTGTCCGCCCACGTGCTCAGGTCTTACCTAAGCCGCAAACCGTCAGAGACAGCCCTAAACCCTAAACCCTTAAACCCTAAACCCTAAACCCTAAACCCTAAACCCTTAAACCTTAAACCCTAAACCCTTAAACCCTTAAACCCCTAAACCTTAAACCCTAAGCCCTAAACCCTAAAGCCCTGCGCTTGGCAGGTGCTCCAAGCGCTCTCGGACGGCCTCTCGAGCCTCAGGTGCGCTTGAAAGGCTGAAAGTGCCTAGAGACCCAAAGACTCCAATATCCCTTAATTAAGGAATATACCTTAAATTATAGTAGGAACCCCAATATGATTTAAGGTCTATTCCCTAACTAAGGGATATTGGAGTTTTTGGGGACATCTGGTCGGAACATCATCGGTACCCTTAGCTCTATTCAGTTGGAGTTCGCCAAGACGAGGCCGCTGCAAGCCGCCGCACTTCACCTCTCGGGTTGACCGGCTGGTGTGACAAAAGGTGGGGTTCGTGGGACGTGTGCGCAGGATTCCAACGACGGCGCCAACGACAATTACTGCTACAATCACGACAATTGCAACAGCAGTTGCGACTGAGTACCACTGCACCGCCGACGACGACTACCAATGCTACCACCACTACTGCTTCTATTGCTGCTACCGCCACCGCCACGTCCACGGCCACGGGTGCTGCTGCGACTGGTACTGCTACGGCGACGACGACGTCCCAAGTGCCCAGAGACTCCAATATCCTTTAATTATAGTAGGATCCCTAATATGGTTTAAGATATACCCCTCAATTAAGGTATTTTGGAGTCTGTGAGCGTACCTAACCCAGACATGAAGTTCCAACGTGAACTGCGCAGGATCTTGCCTGGGTGTAGGGCACTGGGTTTAGGGCATTGGGCTGTGGCGTCCAAGGGTCAAAGTCTTCGGTGTTGAGCCACGAAGGAACGACGCCAGAAATCCTAGCCGAAGTCTGCAGACCTGGGATTTTCGTGCCTTTTCCCGTCAGCTCTGATCGCCGGCCTTCCTGCTTGCAGCTGGCAGAAGTCCATGAGAGGAGGTATCCCGAAAAACAGCCAAACCCCACCTCCCCGGGACCCTGTACTCGACCTTAGCCTTAGCGTCCCGGGCAGTGCCTGAGATTTGAAGCCTAAACCTTGAGACGACTTGGACGTCCTAAAACGCAGTGGTTAGTAAGCACGGAAGCCTTGAAGCTGCACCCGGAACTCTACATCCTGAAACCTGAAACCCTCACAGCCCTAACCAAGCCAAACTAAGCCAAAACTCTAAACCCCAAACCCCTAAACCCTAAACCCTCAACATCCCCTTGGCCCGGGACTGGTAAGCAAAGGGCTTCTCATGGGCCCGTGAAGATGGCTGCGGCGTTGGTGCCCGGAGTTGTGGCCCCAAAGTTTGTTTTGGGGCCTCCGCAGCGCGGTTAAGGGTTTAGGGTTCGCTTCTTTGCGGGTTTCTTCTTTTTTGTTTGTGATTTGGGTTCGGTGTCTTCTTTGCCTACCCCCCGGGAGACGTCATTCTTTGGGTTTTTAGAGCACGCGCGGGAGAGGGTTTTTGGGTATTTGAGAGCTTGGATCTCCAAGTTGGGCTTGGATCTCCAAGTTGCTTGGATCTCCAAGTTGGGGAATCCGTATCCGTATTGCTGTTGGGGGTTTGGTTTCGGGGTGTGTTCGGTTTAAACTATGAAGAGCCGTTGTGGACAGCGAGGTAAACCCTAAACCCTAAACCTTAAGTCCTAAACCCTAAGCCTCAAATCTTAAACCCTAAGCCCTCAACCCTAGATCCTAAACCTCAAATCTGAGACCCTAAATCCTAAACCTTGAATCCTCAATCGGCGAGGCAGGCGACTCACCATGTGGCGCGTGCTCTTCCTCCTCGGCTTGGCCGTCGGGGTCCAAAGCCGCGGTTAGGTTTAGGGTTTATAGGACAGGCTTTAGGGAAAGTTCGGGGATTACTTGGAGGTTCAGGGGTAGTTAGAAGTGGGGCTATAAGTCCCCTAATATCGGTTTTAAGTATAGTTACCCTACTTATAGCCCTAGTTATAACTACCCGTGAACTTCCAAGTAGGGTAGGGTATCGGATTTATGGCTTTTGGTTTAGGGTTTAGAGCTTCGGGTTTTCAAGAGGGGTTCTTGGGTTTCATGTTTAGGGTTGAGGGTTTAGAGGTATGCAGGTTTAGGATGTTAGGTTTTGGCCTTTGGTCGGTTTAGGTGTCTGAGGGTTCTCGGGGTTGTAAGGTTACGTGTGCGGGAGTTTTGGTTTAGTTTTTTTCGGGTCGAGGGTTCTGCGTTGTAGGGTTTACTATTAGGGCACGGCATGACCGGAACCCTGAAACATCCTTCAAGCAAAGATCATCGGAACAGGAGGTGTGAGGTATGAGTTCTGCCAGCATGCTGTGGGGTGATGTTAGAAGCATGGAGATCCTTTGCATTGTAGGAGTAGAGGGCGTCGTCTTCGAAGCAGGTGCGGTAGCAACAGCCTGGTAAGAAGAAGCCGAAGATCCTTCACTCCAAACCCTAACCGTAACCCTCCAACCCTCCTGGTCATTAAGAGATGTCCCTTGTAGAACCACTGAAAGAGCCCGTAAAGAAGCCTTCTTTTGACCGCCCAGTTACAACCCCTCAAGGAATTTTTCATAGAACCACTCAAAAAAACCCCGAAAGAAATCCCTGAACTCTGAGC